TAAAACATAAGGGTGACTGCCAACTTGCAAGGCGCGTGATAGTTATTTGTAGATAACTGACGCGTCCCAATCTGTCGATGTGTGTGCGCACTATTTCCGAACACAAAATAAGAGTCACGACGTCCGCTCAAACGGCGCACACTGGGATATTCCTGTATAACTTCCTAGGTGGTGTTCAGATAAATAGGAATTTTCATTACATAATTTGACAAACAAATTACTAAAATGGAACGGACAGAAATTAAAGTCTATCTGGGCATCTACCCCTATGTCACAGTATTATGTATAATTGTTGCAACTCTTGTTGAATCTTTACGGAATAATTGCACGCGGCCCTTACAAACTTGTGCAAGGGAATACCAATTCAAAATCCATGTTCTCAAATGTTTTGATATTTAGATATTCGACGTAGATGGGTTATATATTTTTTTCTTTTATACAAACCATCCGATCATGAAACCGAACACTAGAGATACTATAGTAGAATACATAGTTTATACCGGTGGTTCCCAACGTAGGGCCCTGAAAAATTTTTGAAATGTTCAAGTGGGGCATGGCACAAAAAAAGTTGGGAAATACTGGTTTATACATTTGTTCTCGGCCTTTTTTTATTTTTAAATATTAACAAAGTAAATATGAATGAGGTGATTATGTTTCTGTGATTTTTAGATGACATACTGACACGACTTCGCTCTTGATGACTACATTATCTCTTGTTATTTTTAAAATTGTATTACTATATAAACAACAAAAATCTCATTATCGCTATTTATGTGTCTATTTATATCTATAATCTTTTATATATTGTATATTACAGGCAACATGTAAACAAATATTATTGTTAAGTTCTATATTTTTTATGTGACTTAAAAATAACCGGTGGAGTGTGATAACTGTCACTTCACACATATACTATTATCATAGAATACACTGTGATGCCTATGGTAGTCCTTAGGCTTGCTGTATACTAAGGTGCATCATCTTCAATTCCAAATTTTACAGTGAAAGTTTTAATTAATTTTGTAAATACCGAATAAATGCAATTATGGTGTTATAATAATCTATAACGAGTAATCATCATCCGCATAATTATCAAACTTGGTCAAATTGCCATGTAATAGCACTTCTTTTTTATGACATCATACCATGGATAGTATTTTCATCTACGTCCATTATGATAATTAAGTAATAACTTTAATAAGTTTAATAATCATCGATAATAATAAAATTTTATTACTAATAAAACAAAATTATAAAAGTAGACAAATTGTGATGTAAATGGGCGTAGAAAATATTAACAGTGGGGCTTTAATTAGTGCAAAACCACTGGTAAAGGTCTGACGTGAAAGAGAGATGAAATAAGAAATATCTTGCAGGAATTGGCAGTACCGCCTGATGAGTCATAATTATTTTTGTATGAAAAAAGAAGAAGAATACCAACCATATATGGATAGTATTATTCTTCTTTTCAATGGAGCCCTATTTACAGATTAACGATAGATAGGTATAATTATTTACTGTGACAGTCTAGTTAATCAAAAATAGGTATTTGGAATGATAATATGTTATGTCGGTCAGGTGTTTAAAGATTGACGTCGAGCCGCATGTATTTATTACGATAAGCGGAAATGTGGTTATATACACATGCATCGACCATAAACATTTCTGTTACGAAGGTTTTTTCAATCAATAGCTATATTATACTCATATTAGATTTGACCTTTATATTCCACGCAAACCGAATAAAATTATAAAAGACCCGAATAATTTTTTTATATCACGAAGATGGCAAACAAATATACAACCAGCATAACTACAGAATACAACTCAGGAGTGCATAGAAAGCTATTAAAGAATAACAATCGGTATGCCGCCCATTAGACTAACTCACATCACGACAACATTGCCCGCCATACTCGTCGCTGCGGTGTAAGAAATCTCCGGCGCGGAATTCCGACAGCACAGGAAGGTATTTGATACAGTAACAGCAGCGTCTAAATTTGAATTCGAGGCAAAGATGGTGGCCAGCAAATCGGCTTTCTCTAATGCCATGTTACCATTCGGATTCCGTAAAGGAAGTAAGGACGAGTGACTGAAGTTGCTTTTCAGTAGCTTTGACTAGTAGCCGGAAAGCATCAAGGGATGAGGTTTTTTTTTTTTATACAACTTAGAATGGCAAACAAGCTGACGGCCCACCTGATGGAAAGTGGTAACCGTCGCCTATAGACATGAGCAGTACCATGGACATAACAGAGTATACTGTTTCGCCCATGATACCCCCATACGTTGCCATTCCTGAGGACTCAGATGTTATTCCTCTGTACCCAGTAAATTCACGCCATATCCCATCCTTCAAACCGAAACACAGCCATGCAAACACAACTGCTTCACGGTAGAAACACGAATGGGACAGAGGTACCCAAGCAATCGAGTTTTGTACAAAGTCTCCCTCTGGTGAACGTAGATGAAAATACTGGATGCATTATGGAGGTGCAAGTCATTTGCCAGTTATCGTGATGAAATCGAATTTTAAAAGTAGTATTTAGTTTTCGCCTCGCATCAGAAACAGTGATGGCAAGTATGTAACTGCGAAACCATAAAACTAGTAAAGAATTAAAATAGAACGCACGAACTGGATTCTCGATTCGCTTTGTCTACCCCGTACATGAAAGATATGAAAGTCAAATAGTTAGTAGACACAATAATTCAATAGCTGATCAATATATTTGACTATTATAAATGCTCTGGCAATGAGATGAGACTATGTTCTGAGTTTGTACAAGACACACAACAGTACCTAGGTTTTTTTTTTTTTTAATAGGACTAAATGGGACGATATACTCTACCAGTGAGTAAAATAGATGATAATGAGACCATGTCAGTTGATCCGTCATAACGGATTCGCCAGAAATTAACTACACTGGTTTCCAAGAGAATATATTGTAAATTGCTATCAATAGGATAGCTAGTTCTAATTCTCGTTACCAACAATCCCTACGCCTTTCTCAAGATATGTAAGTAGCTATCTTTATCACATCATTTTCTCACTTGCTACATAATAGTTCATCATTCATTATGATTATTGACTACACCAAAGTACCAACTACTGCTCTAGCTGTTACTTGTCCCATATAATTACTGGACGTTATTCATCTGCAGTCAGCGAATAATTTTCTTCAGGATAAGTGGACGAACCAGAAAATTTAGCATACAAAGTAGACTTTCAAGAGATACTGAGTAATAGTTTACCATTATATTTACAATTCAAATTGGACATAAACAGGGTTGTCAACAGTATTAACGAATTAACATCCGCGAGCAAATTGAACAGACTAAATAAAAATGAGTCGTGAAGTTTTTTACAAGCATACATACAATTTTATAAGCAAAGTTATATAATAAATACACAAATATAAAACAGTAATAATTCATAATAATAATTTATAAATTAATGTTGTGGAGCGAATTCTCTGTTACATTTTTTAATATTAGTTTTTTTTTATTTGCATTATAATTTTTTGATACATTTTCACTTACGTTATCTTTATTCTGTATTCTCAAAATAATACTAAAAATCTTCAAAATACTCTCCGTCACAACAATTGGTCCATCAAGTTTTATCGCCACATCGGATACATTTTTTCTTATCGGGATAAAAACTATCCTATCTCTCAAATTTAAAACAATACTCAGAAAATACAATTGTAATTAGCCTATAGATTAGTAAACAAACATCGTAACACGGGATTTTTATATATTAAGATAAGATAATAAAGTTATGTGGCAATGTTAACATTTTTTGTCTCGAAAGATCAACTGTAATTTATAAAAAATAAAATAGTAGTGAGTAAAGTAATACTAAAGAGGATTATAACTCGATGTAGCAGTAGTAGACCCACCCTTACTGCTTATGAATAAATATTAACATAATAATGCTGTAGACATTAGTAGAGAGAATATCTGTATACTATATTATAACTCTTACCCATTACTTATGCGCAACACCGATATATAAACATATCAATGTTATTATTTAAAAGTGTAATAATTTAATTTAATAATGTAATAGTTTATATTTAGTTTGATATTGTTAAAATTATGTGAGGTTGCCTTTATTAAAAAAAATATTTATTTATTTTTATTAACCGGGATAAAAAGTAGCGAATATCCTTCTGCTTCTTATATAATATATCCTAGATTAGTTATCCCTTAAGACGCTAAGTAATAAAAGCTAACTTTCACATATGCACTTCTATGTAATGTATGTAATAAAATAAATATTAGCACCTAGACAATTTATAAATTATTATTACATAATAATACAAATATAAATATTTTTTATTATTTCAGATTAAATAATTTAACAACCGCTTGCACATAAACTGACTAAACACAAAAAACGTCTAAATCTATACATAAAATATCTATAAGTCCAAAAAAAATTAGTTAAAATGAGAACCTCTTTTGTTAAATTAATTTGAACAACATAATTTACATGTATCAATAACAATAATAACAAATCATCTTGGAATCTAGCGTTTCTCCAATATGACCTATGTCAACAGCGTTGTAAGTTGATTGATTATTACATACATATATATCCGTTCTGCATTAGTGAATTTCAATACGATAACAATAACAATGAAATTTATCTATTAGTAAATCATTTGAAATTTTATTAGTAAATAATTCTTCTTATCTACATTTATTCGTATAAGTATTTTCTCGATAAAAAGATAAAGTTGACAATTAGGTTTAAAAATAAGTAATTCAATCTATCATTCAAGGTTTTTATATGTACTTAATAAAAGATTATTTTTTTAATTTATAATTAAGTAATTAATAAAAAAGATCGATTTTTTTCTTTAATACTATCCTGCCTATCTTAACTGGTTAAGAGGTAAATAAATAAGCATACATCTATTTTATTTTTTAATATTATGTTACTTATGCATAATTATATATTAAAGTAGTATTACTAGTGTTTAAAATAAAATTACCTTTTTCATTAGCACAGGAATTTCATGTTCCAGTGACATTTCAAGTTTAGGGGAAGTCATGTATATCAAATGTTCACTCCACACAGATGTTCATTAATCAAAGCCACCCCGTCTGGCCGTGTTCCACTTACAATAACGGGTATTTATTTATTTACTGATATAATTTATAATTAATGAAAGCACTAAAGATAAACTGTCACTTGACACACGCGTGCACACTGTGTATCATTTTTATATTATTTCATTTATATTTAACTTTTATAAATCGATTTATTCCATGAAGGTAGATATTGTAGATAAAGGAACGCGATGCGCTGGCACACGGCGCTTGCGCTGCGTGCGAATGAGGGGGCTGCGGTCTTGCTGCGTTTGCGCCGCGCCCGAGAATTTGAGCCGTGCTGTGGCCGCGCACCACCAATGAGATCGAATGCCTATTTAAGAATAATTCCCAACCCTAATCGTCCACCTCATTAGCTATTATTTACAGTTGCAAAATATAAAATGTCTGCCCGTTTGACTGATAAGTACAAATTAAGTACATTCTATTTCTGATTTTGTGTATAAATAAACAGGCACGCCGGCGCCGCGTGATACGCACACGCAACTGGTGTGACATGTTGGCGCCATCACTGCCTCCAAGAATAAGATACAAACAAAAATTATTGTATTAATGGAAAAAATCTTTATTTAAAAACTAAAATTTAATTAACTTACACGCATTGTGAATCGTTTACGTAGGTACTAATTTTTAACAAGCAGATTTGGTTATTAATTGGATTAGACAGGTTAGTACCTGTCTAATTCTATTATTAACCTACTTTTATACACTTAACAATTTCATGTCAAATCTGTCTTTCCTCATTTTAGCAACATAACTTAATACCTAATTAGCGTCCCAACTTTTTTACGCAGGTAAAAGATTACTAATTTTTTACTAAAAAAATACAGCCCATGTTACTCGCTTTCTTTAGGTGAAATAATCCTTAAACTTGAATAAATATTTTTGTAGTCTTAATTTATCCATTAAAAATGAATATTCAAATCTTTCCTCTTTATAATAATAGTTTATATAAGAATTATCTTTGAAGTTAACTAAATAGTAACAAAGTAACATTAAACCTTAGGAACGAAAATGCACATAATTTCAATAATACATATCACCGTATCTACAGTAATATATGATATAGTTCATAATAATCTATGCAACTAATATAATATTACATCAGACAGTGTATTTATTATGTATACATAAAATGTGTTTTATGTAAATATAGTCATATAGAATGCCTATATGACTTGCTCAGTCACGTTTCCTGTATCTGTTTATACAGTCAAATATTAATTAGTTTTCATGACGGTCTTAAACCACCACGATCTGGGTTCTGCCAGAACGTGAAATCAAACAAGACTATAAAAGATATCTTTAAAAACAACTACAACTTTAATATTGATGCTACTTTTTACTTTAGGTTTGTTGGAGCAAAACTCATGTAGAATTAAGCTCGCTATACATTTGCTTTCCACTGTCATATTTCTTTATGTATTATTATTATTATTATAAAGTATAAATAAATAAATAAACCAAAGATTATCCGCATTCAGGATTATCTAAGGCTTTTGCTCGTTATTTTTAGTTTGGGTCCAACGAACCCAGTCTAGAGTACCGGCATCATTTCCCTTCGCTTCTTATACATTATACTTATAGAAGCCAAAAAAGATATTTTTTATAATCTTTCTTCGTACGAAATATGTGAAAACAAAAGGGAAATGGCAGGATTATAATTTGATCTTTTGTTCCAAATAATATTTCACTTTTGACAAATTTGTATTAAAAATAGTGTGGGCCAATACGAAATTGATCAAGATACAACGTAACATAAAAATGTTCAACCGACTTCAAAAAAAAAAAGGTTCTTAATTCGGCTGTATTTTTTTTTTTGTTTGTTACCTCACAACTCCATGAGTTAGAAAATTCTTCTTTTATTTGAAAGGAAATACTTACAGATTAGTCCCATAGAAATTTTATCAAACTCAGTTCATTAGTTTAATTTTTATCCCAAAATAACTGGTTTTGTCACAATTGAAGTAGGTCTTTTGTGGGACAAAATCTTTAAATATTTAATACGCTTAAGTACAAACGAAAACTCTATATTTGTACCTATTCAAAGCATAAATCAAAGTCCGAATATGTTTGTGTAACCATCGTATTTGTGTTTATTTTCTTTAATTAACATTTTTAGCGCTGTCGATATCTCAAAATACAGGATCACGTGCAGGGACTCGTGGATATCATGACGGCCTTTCATTGACCCATGCTCGATAATTTTCAACTTTGAGGATCACGTTGTTATACTTATGGAGATCATATACACGAGTATCACCACGTGAACTTCAAATTTCAAAGAGCTTGGACTAATAAACATCGTAGATAATGGACTTTACATTGGCCAATCTTTATGAAGTATGAGAATCACGTGGTGATACTTGTGAGGATCATGTACACAAGCATCATCACGTCTGCTTCAAACTTCATCAAGCTTAGACATTTAAGGACCTTTATCCACGAGGCTTATTAACGTCAGGCAGGTGACCAGTCTTATATAATATGAATAAAGTCATATTACGCCCTCATCGCCCATCAAAACGCGTTCATCATCATCTTTCTACCCTTATCCCAATTATTTGATAATGAACCTCAAATAGTGTTGTGTTCAATCAATTAAAGGATATAGTAATCCACGAGGATTTACGGTATTCATGACCTCTACGTAATCCACAAATGCAAACATTACTTATTAAGTTTAAATGAAACAAAAGACATTGGCGGCGTGGTGGGCTCCCTATAATATGGTTAAACACCATGATGGCTGGCTCATCATACTTGTGAGCGGGTGCTTCTATTAGTGATTGGTCTGTCCAAGAATATTGTGATTGATTATTTTTATTTTCTTTCTTTTATCGATACAAAGTTTGTGATAGTCATTTTATCCATTTATAGTTTTTGTTGTAAACTTAACTTTTATTTGGAAAAAGCAACAGTTGTGTTTCTTGCACGTTCTTTTTACCTTAAATTGGGTTCCGAACTGGTCGGTAGATTTATAACAAAATGATTATTAAAAAATGCTTATTATTAAGTTTACTTGTATAAAAAATATTAATTATCATTATTATATTCAATATATGAGCACCCTTCCTGTGATATTCAATATCAAATATTACCTATTGATCTTAAGTTAATTAAAACATTTATAGTATAACTTTATCATATAATGCTCTAACTCAAATATTATTCAACTTGAGTAAATGTTTATTTATTATATTTTGTTTTATTTATTATATGTACCAGAACTACCACTTGATTATCAATTTATAACTAAATAAATTATTGGTATAAAAATCTATTGGTATCCATTCAGTTAATAACCTACATGATGCTCAAACTTAAATATAAAATCAAGCTAACCAACCAATACAAAACTGTCATGTATGTATGAAATACTGCATGATTTTGATATTAAAAACATCATCATTATTTTAGCTGTCAACTGTCCACTGTCGAACTTAAGCCTTCCCCATAAGGTAAGTTTTGCCAATAGTACCACGGTTGGCAGGCGAGTAAGTAACTGCAGCCAGGCTTTTAGAATAAATGTTCATACTCAAATATTTTAAAACTTGAGTGAATTAGAAGACTTTATTGATTGAATATGAAGATCACATCATCCAAAATGATAATGAAACAAAATCTGATATGCACGAAGACTACCACGTGATTCACAAACTCAAATATTATCAAGCTGAGGTCAATGAAAGGCCACATATATCCACGAGTACCAACACGTGACCCTTAAATTTATACTCAAATATGAATTACCAAGATTGAGTTCAAACTCAACAAGTCAGGCAGGCGGCCGGTCATAAAAGCATAAAGCAAAAATTAGTAATATGGATAAAACCATATTACACCGACCCCAAATAATATTGGGTTATCCCAATATTAGGGTAAATAGGGTATATAGGGTAAAAAGATGATGATGATGATGATGAATTATTAATAAGGATTCGCACATAACTCTTAAACTTAAACCTTACAAAATCATTACTGATGTAATACACAATAAAATATTAATTAAACTTGGGTAATTCAGAAAACACAGTATCAACGAGGATTGCCACGTGATCATCAAACTGACAAACAAATATTATCGAACTCGAGTTAATGAAATGCCATAAAATGCATGAGTATTAATACATAATATAATCCTTAAACTCATATTCAAACACACACAAAATTTGGGTCAAAGACTATAAGGCCCCTAAGGATCACCACATATGTAAATATCAAAGGTGCGATATATGCTGCGCTAACATGTAACATTTCTTGCCATCACAGAGACCATATACTAAACTCATTGCATAAAAAATTGTCTAAAAAGTTAATCCTACTGCGCTTTTTATAGTTATTTTAAAAATTTTTAACGGATACTGAACTCAATAGACCTCATTCCGTAAGGAATCGACACTACAATACTCTTATTTGACAGCGAGCAGGTAACACTGCATTTACCAACCTCTACATTTTTTGTTACGTGACACTTTTAATCTTTTTTTTTTTTATTTCAATCTACTTACTTCTTTACAACACAATAACTATTGAAAGTATCGTACTCCAATTTACAATATTATGGTACAATTAAATACGGCAATGACACTAAAATATGATATGTCTTATTTTAGAAAACAGTGAAATATTATAATTCATAAAAATTTAAATTAAATTCATAAAAATGAAAAAGAAATATCAGTAGTCAAGTACGAAAATTTTTTTTTATATTTTTTTATCACAATAATACCATAATTTTATATTTCTGAGTTATGACTGTATACAAGTATCCAGATCTTTATACAAATAATCCTTCATTTAGAATTTATCTAAAGGTGAATTTCCGAGACCTAGCATCTTTCTCTATCTATGTTTAGTGTAAACTTGGTTAAGCATTCTAACAACATTTACTAGTTGCTCAACTGCATTCCTGCATAGTTTAGTGCATTGTTTTTTTATTGTAAAACTGGCTCCCTAGATACCAAGCTATTAATAAATATGGATATTATAATGAATACCTTGTTTGACAGGCGATAAAATCTATTACCTGATTACGAAATACGTTCTAAATAAGGAAACGAGAAGCCTGCGGCAGATTTTTAGTAACTTTTAGTATAAATAATTTAATTTCATCTTGATGAACGTAAGCGAAATCGCACCACTATTAGCAAATAAGTCATTGTCAACCGCATGCATTGTGGAACGCTTTTTGGCAAATAAACTTACTAGGAAGATCATAACGCTATCTAAATGACTAACAGCAATGTTCTTGAAGTCTAAAATGGTGTAACAACAATGCCAAATGTAAATAATACAAACGTATGCAATATATAAAATCAT